CAACAATTCATACAAATTTTGTTTTTTTACATTAGTTGCAATCTCCACAGTGTAGCAGCATTCTTCCCACTTCTTTCCTGTATTTACCATTAACCTTAGTCCTTCTTTCCTGTCCCTTCCTGCCTCCTTAGCTTTATCCCTGAGTAAATGCTGCCCTTTTGATCTCATATGATTGATTGTTCTAATGAGTGCATACTTCCCTGGTGTAACTGTTCACCTTATAGACCTATCATTTGGCTGAAAGTTGAGGCATGGAGAAATTTTTTTTATCATGAAATATTTTTAGTATTCCTTTAAACCCAGTAAGGTATAATTTTAGTGGGATTCCTTGAGTTAGCATCCCTCTCTGACTGGAATATGAAGACCTAGGAGGAGCCTGTGTCTAGCAGCAATGCTCTGCAGCTGGTGGGCTGATTCCAAATCAGGAAGTATTCTCACCCCTTTGTCAGAGCATCCAACTATAAGTCATTCAGGACCCCAGATGTTTGTGGGTAGGAAGAATCGGTGGTGGAAAAATGTCACTTCTCCCCCACATTAACCTAAAAAATTAATACAGTTCTTTACAAAATTCAGTAGGATGTGCTTTGCAACTTGACAAGTTGATTCTGAACTTCATCTGGAAAAGTAATTACTAAAGAATAACCAGGAGCTCTGGTAGCATAGTGGCTAAGGCACTTGACTGCTCACCAGAAGGCTGGCGGTTCAAACCCACCAGCCACTCCTCGGAAGGAAGGTTGGGCACTCCTACTTCCATAGTGATACTGCCTCGGAAACCCAAGGAGGGGTCGCTATGAGTCGGGGCCAACTCGACGGCAAACAACAACAACAACAAAGAATAGCCAAGAATTTTTTTTTAAAAGCATAATGAAAGGGACTTGCTTTACCATATAACAAATTTACCATAAAGCTAGAGTGATACAGTACTTCACTGACACCAAAATAGAAAAACAAATCAAAGCAACCTAATTATACATGGGAATTCAGTACATGATAAAGGATACTTTTCAAATCAGTGATTAAAAATGAATTAGCTAGTAAATTGAGGTAGGAAAATCAGATTATCTATCTGGAAATATTTATATTATAACCTCACAACATTAATAAAAATAAATTCCAGCTGATTAAAAATTAAATACAGAAACCATCATAAAAATATGAGAATATTTTTATAATCTTAATAGTGTCACATAAAACACTGTAGAACCATAAGGAAAAATACTGATGGATTTGATTACTTCTATTTATTATAACCGTTTCCTCCCCTCTCCCCACCCCGACCCCCAAAAAAAAACCTTGATGAAAGTTAAAAGGCAGCATACCAGGGAATTTTTTTAAAAAGCATAAATATGAATCAAAAATTAATATGCACAATATAGAAAGAGCTTTAAAAAAATAAAACTGCTGTTGAGTCAATTTTGACTCATAGCAACCCCTCCTTGGGTTTCCAAGGTAGTATCACTATGGAAGTAGATTGCCTAACCTTCCTTCCAAAGAGTGGCTGGTAGGTTTGAACCACCACCCTTCTGGTTAACAGTCAAATGCCTTAGGCACTACACCACCAGAGCTCCTCATACAAATCAAAAAGAATAAAATGCAAATAAAAAAATGACTGATTAAAACAACAGCCAAGTATTTAATATTAATTTATTTAATTAATACTGAGTGAAAAAAAAGCATATCATAAAAGAATGTGTACCTTCATACACACAATGGAATACTATGCAATGCTAAAGAATAATGTAGAATCTGCAAAACACCGCATAACGTGGATGAATTTGTAGGACATTATGCTGAGTGAAATAAGTCAAAAGGACAAATATTGTATAAGTCTGTTACTGTAAAACTTAAGGAAAGGTTTATCTATTGGAGGA